GATGGCTACCAAAAACACTCAACACATTGATTATTCTAGACAATCAATCCATCATCAAAGACCTGGAAAAATTTCTGATCTCTGTCGCCTCACTCATTGGAAGGAGACCTTCAAGATACTTGAATATATTGCCTGAAATTTACCTTACGCAAGGGTTAAAATCTGATGGTGCCCTGGGCACCGAGAAGCTCAAGGTAGCAAAATTGTGGACATGATTGCTAACAGCTTGGCAAACAGGGATTTTGCAAGCACCTTCACCTCAAATTCCACTGTTATAGGATTCACTACCACAATCAAAGCCTTGTCATAGCTCAATGAAAATAACTTCTTGGCTGAAGACATTAAGAGACTAGGCCAACAACCATCACCCAGAAAGCACATCAAGGCTCTCAGAGACCTCCAAAAACACAAAAGTGCAACCATCACTAAGCTATGATCAAACCACATCTACCTCAATTCATACCTATTCAAACACAACCAATGCTTTGACCCCATGGCAAATGCCAAAACGGAGTTGAGAATTTTGACCAATTTATTTTCATATTACACAGAGACGCACAACAACAAATGAAACTCACAGCAGCAACCAACAAACTTCAGCAAAACAAAACACAAGACATCCTCACAAAACCAAAGGCTCTTGAATGTGTTGCCAAAATCAGCAATTCGATGTGGCAGTTCAAAGATTTCTGGTGTCTGGGTATGGGCTAAGATTACCAAAGAGGACACCCCTCACAATTTTCACATTCCTTCTATTTAAAACAAATTGTAACCCACCTCCTTTAGCGCCACTTCACATATGCAAATAACACTTGTAATACTTCAAACAGCCAGAACACTTCCTTTTCCGCACAGGGGTCTTTACTGGAGCAGAGCCCAAGTAGTTACAGTGCCTGATAGCCTTTGGCTCAGGAGGAACTTTAAGCAATGCATAATCAAACAAGTTTTTCAATTTTGCTTACAACAAACCAGCATAAATTGCAAAAAGAGTACATAGTCTAGTCTTTTGATTAAAGACACTTGACAACCTGCAATCTCTAGCCCTCCTATAAGCCTTGCCCACTTGCCACCCTATGCTTGGTGACATTACACTGAAGGTATTGTGTTTCCCTTGACTGGTGATTGGTAACTGAAATGGTGGCCAGGAGAGTTTCATTACAAGCCACAACTAGTGTTGAAATGTTCAATTGATGTTAAATATAAGAAGATTTTAGTTTAGTTTTTAGGAGGGTTTGATTTAGTTTTAATCTGAGGGAAGGTTAAAAGAAGAGATGACTTACATATGAGAAAATATAAGAGAAGAAACAAGAGAGCAAAAAGATGAGAGGATGTGCAAATAGGATTACCCCAAAGAAAAAAAGTGAGGAACAAGCTTGACTTATATGTTTTTGAGCAATTGATCTTACTTCTCTTTGCCCATCTTTGGAAAGAGAAGTTCCATTTTTATCTTTTACTAAAGACCTTAATATTGACTGTGTTATGTCATTTTTACTGTGTTTATTTTTGACTACTATTAATGTGATTGATGTCAATTGCTCTTATGATTCCCCCAGAGATCAAAGCTAATCAATTTTATTGTATCATTTCTCTAACTACTTATCAGGTTAGATATCCTGCCTATAAGTTGTGTGTTGGTGCTTTGCTTATCAGTACTAGCATGCACATAATCAGATCCCTGTTTAAAGACTCTAAGAATTTCATAACTAGCCTTTGCTGCTATGGGGGACAGTCATCAGGTACTGTTTCAGTTTTATGAGGAAAAGTTATATGACTTATGTGCTCTGTTGTTGACAAAAGCTTTGTGACAAGTGTGACTGGTCTCCATGGCATCTTGACTGGTCTTAGCTACCTTTGAAGCTATTCACATGCCTTCATCAGTGACTGTCAGGGACATAGTGCTGCCTTGACAGCACTGGGAGTGCACATGTGGGGTTTTCTTATTCACTCCAGGTGGTCTTGCAATAGAGTTTTTGTATATCTCAATATCATGGGTTCATTGATGTGGATGATCATCTTGACCTTTTTGCCAATTTTTTCAACCAGGAAATTAGTGGCGGGTGCCGCAGTGTCATATGTCCAGGAAAGCTACCTCTACTACTCAATTTGAGATGATTGAAGATAAGGCACACCTATATAATTTCAATCCATTCACATATGTACAGGACAAATATCCCCAATGGTTTTGATCCCAATTTCAGAAGCACACATTCATATCTTTGAGCAGAAATATGGATATGATACTCAAAGTTTTATCAAAGATCTTAGGTACAGCTGATGAAACACACAAAGCAGAAGGCATGTAGCTGTGGTATTTCCCTAACTTAACTCTAAGTCTCTCAATACTGAGACAGTTGTCATTCAAGAAAGTTGAATCCACATGTCCCAGCATGAGAGACTTGAATCTAAACTTGACATTTTGGCTTGAGGGGTAAGGATTCCTTTGCAGAGGGTATCTTGATTTCCCCATTTTTGTGAGCGCTTCATTGGCATATGCGCTGCCAGTTGCTCCAAAATGTACAACTTGATTGATCAAAATTCCTTGGTTGCTCACCAAGCCATATATTGCTTTCTTTCATCATTTTCACATGTAGCTCACATGTAGCTCGGTGGTTCATGGAAATAAGTCCTTGACTTAGCAGAGCTATATGTGTCACATATAGCTCTGTGAGTATGAGTTTACTCAATAAAGTGAGTATTATTGAGTATACTGAGTATTTTTGCCTATTTTTGGCCCTGTAAACCCGTACAAAGTGAGTATCAGTTGAGTATATACTCATACTCGGTACTCATTCCTGCATCCCTTGTGAGCTGTAGCCTGCAGATGAAAATCACAAAATAGCAACTCATGTAGCTCAGCAAGCAACCAAGGCATCTCCATGATTTCACTTGTACATTTTGGAAAGTAGATTGGTGCATATCCCCATGAAGTGCAGTAAAACAATCCCCAGTGAGCTCACAGAAAAGGACACATCAAGATTTCCTCTGAAAGGAAAGCCTTATCCCTCAAGCCAAACACACAACATTAGATGTAAGTCCCTCATGCTGAGACATGTGGATTCAACTTGCTTGAATGACAGCTGTCTCAGCATTGAGGGACTTATTTAAGCTAGGGTGTTTCCAATGAGTCTGTTGCTTTGGTTTCTCAGGAAGCAAGTTTTTTATCATTCAAATTCAAATTATTACAATTGTATGATTATATCCTCTGGACCAGATGACTCTCTCTTGGTCAAATCTGTCTTGTCAGATCAAATGGCCAAAAATATGTACATCAAGATACACATCAAGTAATTGTTGATGGTAACAAAACAGCCGAAATGGAACTTGGCAATCAAAACAAATTGAGGAGAATGATGAAACTCATTTCAAAGCCTGCTTTTGCTCCTGATACTTGGGTTTGGCAGTCTGGTCATATCAGAAATTGACTGTCATATGGTTGATTAGCAGCATACATCTATGGGAAGCTCTGAATCCTATGGACCAGGAAAAACAGAGTTCAATTTTGAATCTGAGGTCAAGAGTTTTTGTGATGATGTGCAAGATTGTTTCAATTTTCCTTGATCTTGATGACTTCAGCACATGTCCTTCTTTTTCCTCTGCTTTGACAGCAAGATTAAGATTTGAATGCGAGTTCAATCTGTAGTATCAGAAGTCAACCTGGATCAACTTCAGTTGTTTGATTGTTTGTTGATTGCTTGGAAATTTAACTGTTTTTAAAATGTTCGAGCTCGAAGTGGTGATGTTGGGCCTGTATCAAGATTCAACTTCAGGCGTTTCGAGTGACTGTTCAAGTAACTGGAACTGAAAGCAAATGTAGTGCTCAAGCGATTTCGAGTTTTCTAACTTGATTGGTATGATGCTTGCTGTCAAAGATAGATGCGAACAACCAAAATATTTCTGACCGATTACAAATAAAGTCAATTTAGTTTTCACTTTTGAAATCAATGGCATGCATATTCAATTTAAAGCTCTGGATGTTGGATATACGAAGTCGATGATTGCGAGTGAAATCCAAAGTCCTTCGAGGTGATGACACAGATGGGACTGACTGGGGCCTTTAGGTGAGTATGGACCGTCGCTTCAAATGGAAGTTTTCCAGCAAGGATAAACTGTCAATGCAAGAATAAACGTTGAAGAGTCTGAAACCATTGACAGGTGGGCAGCCCTAAGCGAGTAACACTGCAGACATTATTCGGGTTCCCCAAGTGGGCAGGGAAAAATGATTGGGAGTATGATTTGTCATAAAATGGTCTATCACTCCACACCTGAGCCATAACACCCACACTACATATGTGTAGCAGGCTCAGTGAATATGTGGTTATCATGTACATACAGTTCTGCTCAGTTATCTGCTCATCAGGACAAGTTATTCATATGTAATACATGCTGTAACTTCTTTCAGATTGAAAAAAGCTTCCAAAAGATTGACTACATACACTGACTCAATGTTTTGGTGTGATCTCATCAACTCAACTGCATGTAACACACTTTCTGTTACTAAGACATAGCTTCAACAATATTGCCTGAGCAGCTACAGAATTATATGTAGTGAATTTTTGGGAAAAAAATTTCAAAGTCGAAAAAGTTACATGTGGTATAACATGTGATTTATTTATTCTGATGGGCAAAAAACTGAGCAGACCTGTATGTACATGATAGACAACTATTGACTTAGCTTGCTGCACATATGTAGTGTGGGTGAAATGGCCCAGGTGTGCAGTATTAGATTCTTTTATGAAAAACTGTACTATTAATCATTTTCCTCTGCCAAATTGGGGAAGTTGAATGATGTTTACAGTGTAAGCTGGCCTTTTTATCTTGAATAATTGAGTGCGATTGACGGTGGTGATTATTTCCGGATAATTTTGAATTTCAAGGTGAGGCAAAACGACGCGGTGGGTATATGGTTGCATTCAAATACGACAGTGGATGCAGATTGATTCACATTGGTCGATTTCTGCTCATGTACAAAACTGGGAAATGGCGCTAATGGTGAATTTAGTCAGGTTTTGTAAGCGAAGTGCGTTTGCAATCAACATTTAAAATAATAATGATGAATGATACCCAACCATGACGGTGCAAAGCACGAAGCTGGACAGTTTGAAAAAGGAGAGTATGTACAACAAGAAAAGCAAAAAGGTAGATAGTGTCAATTATAACGGATAACTTAGTTTTCAGCCACTCCATCGGGGTAGCAATATCGTTGAAAGCATTTTTTACAGATATCCGAACGAGGAACCTTTGTAGTGAGTCGATTCCGCGCGCGTTCAAGCATTGCGCAGGATAAACAGGTCGGCCACTCCTGGTCAGTTGAACCGTCAAAAACTGGTGATGTGGTGACGGTAGTGGCCGATGCGAGGAAAGCGGTGCTTTCCGCGTCTTCATACTACATTCGAAAAACCACAAGTGAATAGAGCAAGTCAGAAACTGACTGGGCTACTTGGTGCAGTTGTTTCCGAAACAAACTCAACTTTAAGTTTGAAAGTCGAAGTATTTGTGAAAGAACCAGTGGAGTGCAGTGGAAGTGGACTGTTAGGAAGATAGACCACCAAAGGGTAACCTCCGTTCCCGGTACGAGATGGCGGATTACATCCAAAGAAAGTCGGCCGGGTGGAATAACCTGATAATTGTGTACGGGAATTGTGTACTGTTAGTAAGTCTGCTCTACATGCAAGATACAAATGCAAACCAACCTTTCTCAATCCACTCTTGAGGATTTGTTGGAATCGGCGGAAAGCTAGCGGATCCGTTTGGAAGCACGCGTGTTACTCGAGTGAATGTCGCAATCAAAGCAGTTCCATTTGGCCAGTGGGCACCGATGGGTGAGCTAAGGGTAAGCGTGAAAATGAAGACGCGAGGTAAGTAGATTGATTCGCGAGCATCTGGCCATCAGGAAGAAATATGTAGTCACCTCTCATCAGTGTCAGCAGAACCATCAGCTGCCAAGATGATATCAACTCCTCGCGCGAGCAGCGGGTTGATCGGTATGTTTTCTCCGTTTTCTCCTAGCAGATTGGAATGAAATAGTCAGCTACAGCTCAAACATGGAAGGATGGACGTATTCTCATGCAAAAAGAACCTAACCCCCGTCAACCAAGTCAAGCTTGTCTGAATTTGTCTGATCAAAGCCCGCTGGGCCATTCACACCTTTGAAAGGGTTTGGGTAGTATGCAGTGTCCACTCCGGTGAGGTCAGATGTGTTGGCTAATCGGCTGCCTAACAACTTGATAAAACCAAGTTGAGAACTTGACAGTGTTCCCACAATTGAGCCCACGAGTGTCCCTGCGATAGCGTTGAAAAGCTGAGTTGAGTATGTTGATAAACATCAGCACTGATATGCCGTGCTGAATAGCATATACATCAAAACAGATACCAAAAAAACTCAACTGAAGATGACGTCCCGATAACAAAGCTTGCTTGATCGAACCCAGTGGTACATGTCCCATTCAATGGTTTTCCACTGTCCAGGGGGGTACCCAAATATTGAGTAGGGATGTGAGCACTGAGGTAAGGGTCAAAACTTCCGAATTCGTGGACTGTAGTTTCAAATACCGTTGTTGAGAGTGGGACTATGTTGCCGGGGGTGGGTGCTTGTGATCCCGGGGGAGGTTGCTGATTGCTGACGATGATGGGATACGGATTTTTGAATGCTTGGAAGTCGGGTGAGTTTTTGAGTGCCGAGACAAGTAAACCTGCTCCATTGGCAGTAGGGGAAGTACTATCGTAAAAGTCTGAGGTTTGGGGAAAACAAGTTCGTCAGCACTAGAAGTACATAATCTATTTTGCAATTGTCAGATTGAAGTTCAGACTTTGGAGGCGTACTATTTGTTGTTGTCCCGGGCATGAAGTGATGTGATAATGCACGCGCCCAAACGTCAGTTATAGAAACTTCAAGACCAGCCTTTTTCTTCAAATCGACGTCGTCAAACAATGCGTCCAAATATCTCGCATCATCTATTGCATTGGCTCCGCCGGGTAGGAAGAGGTCGCGTGACAATAACCAGCTTGCGACGAGCTGCTTCATCTCGGGATACCCACTCATAGCTGAAGAAAGCGTTAGCCACGATCCACCACTCAAAGCAGATTGATACATGGCCAGCTGAGATATACCAGCTATTGGGCTGTTCGATGTACGTGCATCCCTATTGCAGAAAAAAGATAAGTCAATAAATAATTCAAGTCTGTCTGGCACACGGACGGAGAGGTAGTGGGTTGATCTTACATTGCTTGGAGGACTCCGGCACCATATAAAGCAGCTCGAAGCCCGCCGCCTGAATGGGCCAAGGCTAGGGTAGGATTTTCAAATGAGGCTTGTGTAAAGATTGAAGCGTAGCCTGTCTGTTTCCCAGGCCCAGTGTTATAAAAAGACTGCCACAATGGTGCGGTGAGAGCATTGCGACCTTTTCGAAACGCAACCTCTTCGGCGCACAAAGTCTGATTGGAATAGGCAGCCGATCCGGCGAGTCGAAGAAGCGGGGTCGACGGACATTGAGCAAGGGTGGGCGCGTACGAAGCAGCAGTGGCGGTGATCACTTGAGACGTGCCAGGTTTGAGTGCGATTGCTAGCCAGAGGACCCAAAAACTGAGTGACAAGGATATCATTTTGAATGAGAGAAAAGAAAGAAGGGTGGGCTGAAAGTAAGGAAGGGCGGCGATTGTTTCTCAAATCAAAGAAGCACGCTGCTCGCAAGACAGCGCGAGACTCTATCAATATTAGATTTATATATCAGAAATGTGAAGAACGGAGACTATGAGAGTCATCGAAATATGATCGAAGTCAGCTTGAGTTCATTCTTTCGAGCCGGAATCGTCGGATTCACAATATGATCGAAAATCTAGCTTTGCAGTCCTCGCGCTGTCGTCAGTTTGAATCGGAACGAAGGCAGCTCAATCCTTACATATTGGGTTGGTCGCGGGGAGGAATCACGGTCGTATGGGTACATCCAGCGCTTCTAGCATGTCTTCAAAGAATTGTTCCCCAATCAATAAAAAGGCGCCACAGCGGTCAGACAAAGTTTGGCCTAAATTTATCACCGGTGGCCATTCAATCTCGATATAACATTTCAACTTTACTGCAATTTGATTTGCAAATCACGAGAAGGTTTCCAATGAGGGTTCGAGGGTTCAGGGGTGGACAATTCGCAATATCAAAGTCACGATTATCTTTGAATTACTAACTGCGTTTTGGCTCCGGATCAGCTCGTGCGCCTTCCTGAATCCTACCACTTGACCTGCTACATAACCAGGCGAGCTGAAAGGCCCTGAAAGGCCCGAGCTTGGAGCATTGAGCAGTAAGGATGAGTGAGGAGTGACAATTATTTGGAGCTGTGGAGCTCTTCAACTTTCAATTGACCATTGGTCGGAAATCGGAAGATCCTCGTCTTCAGACAGAAAGGGCTTGAGACTTTGTTGATCTTGGAATCGAGCACTACATCTGGTCTATGTATTTCCAGAGGCTCTGCCAAGACAGTGTCTCAACAAGTCATCGCGTCCTGTTCCGCTACGTCATGTTCGGATGGAAATACGGTACTCAAAGTTGTTTGTGGTTGGGACGTGTTTTAACACAGGTCACCGTCTATAAGCCTCCTTATGACGTTTGGTAAAGAGGAAGAGGAATCATTTTTAGTTCTTTAAATTGATTTTCAGCTTTTGTGCTCTCCTTTCCTCTTACCATCAGACCTGTTGTTTCATTGATACAATGAAAACTAGAGCATAGGCGGGCACACCCACTAACAAACGTCTGGCAAACATAAAGAAAGTGATGTTTGTAACAGAGCCAATGGTATAAAGGTGGCTTTTAAAAACAGAGTTATCAACTACAAAATGTATCTTGATTTTGTGCATGCATATGATTGACAGAACTTGTGTTTGCCTTTTCCAGACAATGGAAAAAGTAAATGAGTAAATGGCCTTTAACTCAGAATAATTCAAAGAAAAAAGTGTCCTTGTTTCATGGACATGTTGAAGATGTGTAAATTTATCATGTATGGAAACAGCATGAAAAGCGATGTCTAGAAGCAAGGATTGATCATGACCAAACCAACAACTGCTATTATGGTACTCAAAACCACTAGGTTCAAGCCACCTTTTTCAAAAAATGTGAAAAACATAGATTCAAAGTTGAACTTTTTGCAGGGGAATTCCTGGGAATTCTCTGGAACTTTTTTTTGGAGTTCTGTACGGTTCATTTTCTCCGCAAAAACAACATTTTGAAAGCAGGTTTTCAAGAAAGGTAGCACGGACCTAGTTGTTTTGAGTACCGTATATATATATATGTTTAGAGATGGAGAATAAGTGATGACTATGAATAATGAGCTCAATCAGCAGGCAATATTTTGTACTTAAAAAGCATTCAAAAACACAACCTTTGAAAGGAGAGACCAATTAGGGGATACAAAGTTAAATCTGGGATTTTTTTCCCAGTTTCCCAGTTTGTTTTTGGCTGTGTCAATACCGGAATCACTCCGAAAAAAAATGCGGTTGTGCAGTGGTTGTGCAGCGGGCCGGGTAACCACTAAGGCCATCAAAATCGGCAGCGGAGCCTGCGCACCGCTTCCTAGAAGCATATTTTCTTATAGCGGAGCTGGCACTGCACAACCGGGGCCGGCAGGCGTACCTCCGCTATATTTCGGAGCAATTTGGCGTAGATGGGTACAGGGTATCACTCATCTACGCCACTCAGCCTCACTTCACTTACAACTCAATCCACATACCATGAACCGAACGACACCATCTCTGATCTCGATTATCTGATCCACGTACCCAAGCAACAATCAATACAACTCCTCTCTCTTCGCTTTGGTGTGTTCAAAACCTGGCCAACTTGTGGTTTGTCAAAAACGAGCATCTAATAAAAGGTACGGCTTGATTTCCTATTTTTGATCACTGTTTGTCCTTTTTTGTCATAGTTCTAATTAATAATTTCATTTGTTTCCCTTTGTGACTATGCCACTTCCCAGATCTTCATCGCAAAACTCCATCCAACCAAGCCTCCAGGTTCCGACTACAACCAATAGACGAAGTAACCGTCCACCAAGTCCAGCTCGCATCCAGCCTGGTTTTCTTGTCCCTCCACAAGATTCCCGTTCTGCTCTAGTAATCTCTTCAAATCCTGAAGAATCTTCTTCCTCTCTTAATCATTGTGTTGCTTCACCTCGTCCAGCTCTTGTCAACAAGAAACGTAACAGTCAACCTGCTGTACCAGCGCCAAAAAAAGCAAAGCCAGTCGTAAAGAGGAAGGTTAGTTTTTTATTTCATATTGTTTGGTTTCATTCTCTTCATGTCTCATCATTGCGATTTTTGCAGCCTCGATCGTCAACTAGCAAACGAGCTTGATCTACGTTGCCAACTTCATTGAGTGGTTCAACTTCAACTTCACCTCGTTCAGCTAAGCAAGCTCGGATGGAAGTAAGTTATGTTTTCTTGGACTTATTATGGATTCTTTCTGACATCTTTATCTCGATCTTAGCCCTTTGAAGTCCCCGATGAGGTAGACTTAGACCAAGATTCAGACGTTGAGATCATTGGAACGAACAAAACTGGCTATAATGAGTCTCGGACTCTTGGTGTCAAGAAGCTTCTTGAATATTATCATGATCCAGATGTAAGTTTTTATATTCTTTGTTCCAATTCTTGTCATTCTCAGTCTCACAATCTCTATACTTCTTGTGGGTGCATGGCTGACATGTAAGTTTTTTTTTCATATAGGGACGTGGCTACCAGTGCCGGTGGTGTCGTAAGACCTTTCTCAATGGACCCTCGTCCTATTACAACTTGTGGGGCCACCGCGATGGCACCTCTACGCGACCTCACTGCAAGCATAGAGCTCGAGCCATCACAGCTGGTGTTACTCTTCCACCCAGCTACGTTGAAAAACAGGCGGCCAAGGACAAGTCCAGAGGCACTTTGAAGTCGTTTGTCAGTGGTCCAATCTTCACTCCTGAACTTCTCAACATGATCCTCGTCATCTGGATTGTTCGCCACGCCCTCCCTTGGGTACGATTCGAAGACCCTTCCCTCCGTGCAGCCTTCTACACTGTTAATCGTAGCGCTGTGGTTCAATCGAAGACATGGGCTTCCCAACAGTCCGTTGAGTTGTTTTCTGCATTGCATCACAAGGCCATCAACACATTGAAATTAAGTTACATCCTCCTTAATCTCCTCATCGTTTGATATTTAACTTATTTAATGTTTTCATTCAACTTCTTTGTTTCAATTTAGGAGAACCAAGGACGCTTTTGTCTGATCCATGACGTTTGGACTACCAAAGGTAATCGGTACGCGTTTGTTGGAGCATCAGCCAACTACATCAACAACGACTGGGAGTATGTTTCGACTCACCTAACTCTGAAGATGGTAGCTTGGCATCATTTTGGGGTTCTGTTAGCAAGGCCTGTTGGTCGATTCTTGATTCAACATGGCCTTCATAAGAAGATCAGTCTTCCCTTTTTTTATTTTATTTCAAAATGGTTTCTTTCATAATTACTAACTTGTTCTGTAATACTCACATGCTAGGCCAGACGACGGATAGTGGAGGAAATAATGGACCAATGGCTTCAGAACTTAAATCGATGTTTGCCAACGCTGACGATCCAGTCCATTGGAATGCCTCGTCCCATCACATTCGATGTTACGCCCACAAACTAAATCTTGTAGTTGGGCACGGTCTCAAGGCGATTGGACAAAAGGTTAGTGTGGCCTCACCTTGTGTACCACATGGGGTTCCTATCCCTATACCTGGAATCGAGGTGAACGAAGGTGAGGATGCAATCATCGGCAGCGATAACTCGGACGACAAGAGCAACACTGGTTCAGACGATGCTGATGTTGATGATGAAGATGGAGATGAGGATAGCGAGTATGGTTTAACTTGTGCAATTGATGATGTGGTGGCAGTTGCCCTCAAGAAAGTACGTAACAATTCTATCTAATTCTTTTCTTCATCTCTGTTCTGATGACATGATGTCTTTGTACCAGGTGGACGCGGTATCTGGTCAGATCGCTAGTAGTGCAGCTCGTAGAAATGACTTCAAGACACGGGCCAATCGTATGGGGTACACTGGTCGAATGCTCAAAAGACCCTGCAAGACTCGTTGGAACAGTCATTACAAAAGCCGCAAGATCGCTTGCGAGGCACAGGAGGTCAGGTTTTTTATTCCACATCTTTTCTCTATTCTCTCATACTCATATTCAGTCTCTTTTCATCCGCAGGTCATTAACTCGATGATTGCAGCTGATCGAAAAGCTTGTTTCTTCAAGGGTGTAACAATCTCTGCCTCTGAATGGGATGCTGTGGAGTTGGTGAACAAAGTCTTGAAGGTAAGCATTGTTTCTGTCTCTACATCCATCTCTCTCTCTCTCCTTGCTTTTGATTGACTTGCTGACCTAAACTTTTGGTTATCTTAGACCTTTGTCGATGCAACTGCCAGAGTTGAGGGCAACGGGCCTACTGGCTCTATCCTCCTTGCTGAGTACAAGCGAGTCATCTCAGAACTCAAACTTCATCAAGCCGAGGCGTCTTCTTTCGCAAGTCTAGATAATGCCATCGATGTTATGCTCAAGTGGCTCATCGAGTACCAGGACAAGGCTGCTAGTTGTGACGCCATTGTACTAGCAACAATCGTCAATCCCCAATATCAACAGAAGTTCTTTACACTTCATTATCCAGAAGACGACTACTCATCTCGACTTTTGATCAACAACGCCTTTGACCAACTTTTGGAAGAAAACGAAGTGCGCGAACAAACCCCATCACCTGATGAACCCGA